TTAAAAATACATCAAATTTTTATGTTTTAGGTTTTGTTCTCTACACCGAAGGACTCCGTATAGGGGCTTAATATAGGGACAGAAATGGCCACAGAAATCTTTAGATGTACTAATATTGTCGTGTCTATAGTCTAGTCTATAGCCTAGTCTAGTCTATAGCCTAGTCTAGTCTAGTCTATAGTCTAGTCTATAGTCTAGTCTATAGTCTAGTCTATAGTCTAGTCTATAGTCTAGTCTATAGTCTAGTCTATAGTCTAGTCTATAGTCTAGTCTATAGGTCTAGTCTATAGTCTAGTCTATAGTCTAGTCTATAGTCTAGTCTATAGTCTAGTCTATAGTCTAGTCTATAGTCTAGTCTATAGTCTAGTCTATAGTCTAGTCTATAGTCTAGTCTATAGTCTAGTCTATAGTCTAGTCTATAATCTAGTCTATAGTCTAGTCTATAGTCTAGTCTATAGTCTAGTCTATATTAGTCTATAGTCTAGTCTATAGTCTAGTCTATAGTCTAGTCTATAGTCTAGTCTATAGTCTAGTCTATAGTCTAGTCTATAGTCTAGTCTATAGTCTAGTCTATAGTCTAGTCTATAGTCTAGTCTATAGTCTAGTCTATAGTCTAGTCTATAGTCTAGTCTATAGTCTATCTATAGTCTAGTCTATAGTCTAGTCTATAGTCTAGTCTATATTAGTCTAAGTAGTCTATAGTCTAGTCTATAGTCTAGTATAGTCTAGTCTATAGTCTAGTCTATAGTCTAGTCTATAGTCTAGTCTATAGTCTAGTCTATAGTCTAGTCTAGTAGTCTAGTCTATAGTCTAGTCATAGTCTTAGTCTATAGTCTAGTCTATAGTCTAGTCTATAGTCTAGTCTATAGTCTAGTCTATAGTCTAGTCTATAGTCTAGTCTATAGTCTAGTCTATAGTCTAGTCTATAGTCTAGTCTATAGTCTAGTCTATAGTCTAGTCTATAGTCTAGTCTATAGTCTAGTCTATAGTCTAGTCTATAGTCTAGTCTATAGTCTAGTCTATAGTCTAGTCTATAGTCTAGTCTATAGTCTAGTCTATAGTTAGTCTATAGTCTAGTCTATAGTCTAGTCTATAGTCTAGTCTATAGTCTAGTCTATAGTCTAGTCTATAGTCTAGTCTATAGTCTAGTCTATAGTCTAGTCTATAGTCTAGTCTATAGTCTAGTCTATAGTCTAGTCTATAGTCTAGTCTATAGTCTAGTCTATAGTCTAGTCTATAGTCTAGTCTATAGTCTAGTCTATAGTCTAGTCTAGTCTAGTCTATAGTCTAGTCTATAGTCTAGTCTATAGTCTAGTCTATAGTCTAGTCTATAGTCTAGTCTATAGTCTAGTCTATAGTCTAGTCTATAGTCTAGTCTATAGTCTAGTCTATAGTCTAGTCTATAGTCTAGTCTATAGTCTAGTCTATAGTCTAGTCTATAGTCTAGTCTATAGTCTAGTCTATAGTCTAGTCTATAGTCTAGTCTATAGTCTAGTCTATAGTCTAGTCTATAGTCTAGTCTATAGTCTAGTCTATAGTCTAGTCTATAGTCTAGTCTATAGTCTAGTCTATAGTCTAGTCTATAGTCTAGTCTATAGTCTAGTCTATAGTCTAGTCTATAGTCTAGTCTATAGTCTAGTCTAGTCTAGTCTATAGTCTAGTCTATAGTCTAGTCTATAGTCTAGTCTATAGTCTAGTCTATAGTCTAGTCTATAGTCTAGTCTATAGTCTAGTCTATAGTCTAGTCTATAGTCTAGTCTATAGTCTAGTCTATAGTCTAGTATAGTCTAGTCTATAGTCTAGTCTATAGTCTAGTCTATAGTCTAGTCTATAATCTAGTCTATAGTCTAGTCTATAGTCTAGTCTATAGTCTAGTCTATAGTCTAGTCTATAGTCTAGTCTATAGTCTAGTCTATAGTCTAGTCTAGTCTATAGTCTAGTCTAGTCTATAGTCTAGTCTATAGTCTAGTCTATAGTCTAGTCTATAGTCTAGTCTATAGTCTAGTCTATAGTCTAGTCTATAGTCTAGTCTATAGTCTAGTCTATAGTCTAGTCTATAGTCTAGTCTATAGTCTAGTCTATAGTCTAGTCTATAGTCTAGTCTATAGTCTAGTCTATAGTCTAGTCTATAGTCTAGTCTATAGTCTAGTCTATAGACTAGTCTAGTCTATAGTCTAGTCTATAGTCTAGTCTATAGTCTAGTCTATAGTCTAGTCTATAGTCTAGTCTATAGTCTAGTCTATAGTCTAGTCTATAGTCTAGTCTATAGTCTAGTCTATAGTCTAGTCTATAGTCTAGTCTCTATAGTCTAGTCTATAGTCTAGTCTATAGTCTAGTCTATCGTCTAGTCTATAGTCTAGTCTATAGTCTAGTCTATAGTCTAGTCTATAGTCTAGTCTATAGTCTAGTCTATAGTCTAGTCTATAGTCTAGTCTATAGTCTAGTCTATAGTCTAGTCTATAGTCTAGTCTATAGTCGATAGTCTATAGGATTTCTAGTCTATAGTCTAGTCTATAGTCTAGTCTATAGTCTAGTCATAGTCTAGTCTATAGTCTAGTTCTATAGTCTAGTCTATAGTCTAGTCTATAGTCTAGTCTATAGTGCTAGTCTATAGTCTAGTCTCTAGTCTAGTCTATAGTATAGTCTATAGTCTAGTCTATAGTCTAGTCTATAGTCTAGTCTATAGTCTAGTCTATAGTCTAGTCTATAGTTAGTCTATAGTCTAGTTCTATACTAGTCTATAGTTAGTATAGTCTAGTCTATAGTCTAGTCTATAGTCTAGTCATAGTCTAGTCTATAGTCTAGTCTATAGTCTAGTCTATAGGTCTAGTCTATAGTCTAGTCTATAGTCTAGTCTATAGTCTAGTCTATAGTCTTAGTCTCTATAGTCTAGTCTATAGTCTAGTCTATAGTCTAGTCTATAGTCTAGTCTATAGTCTAGTCTATAGTCTAGTCTATAGTCTAGTCTATAGTCTAGTCTATAGTCTAGTCTATAGTCTAGTCTATAGTCTAGTCTATAGTCTAGTCTATAGTCTAGTTCTATCGTCTAGTCTATAGTACTGTCTATAGTCTAGTCTATAGTCTAGTCTATTAGTCTAGTTCTATAGTCTAGTCTATAGTTCTAGTCTATTAGTCTAGTCTATAGTCTAGTCTATAGTCTATTGAACAAGTCTATATAGACTATGGATAAGTCTATTGACTAGTATATTCCCTATTTATGGATTAGAATGGTTAACTTATTTACTAAGCTAGCTTATGACTAGCCTGGTCCTAAATTTGTTAGTCTGTTGACCAAATTTATTGACTAGTCTCGAATCTGGACTATAAACAAGTATAAGGATTAGTCTATTTACTAGTCTACAGACTGGAATATGGACTAGTCCATTCACTAGTATATAGATTAGACTATTGACAAATTAATTGGCTATTATTAAATGTAGTCTATTGACTAGTCTATAGTCTAGTATATTGACTAGTCTATTGGTTAACGTATTGACTAGTCCATATGGATTAGTCTATTGACTATTTTATTGACTAATGTATAGACTAGTCTATGGACTAGGCTGTGGATTAGTTTATTTACTAATCTATAGACTAGTCTGTGGATTAGTTTCTGAACTAGTTTTAGTTTATGAACTATTCTATAGGTTGGTCTATTAACCAGTCTATTGCTATAGGTTTCGTTGTTCAAATGTACTGGAAAAAGTCCAAAGCACTGAATTTCTGCTGTACAATTATTTCTGACTATTGCGATTGCAACAACTTAGATTGTAGATTATTACGACAATTCTCTCATCTAATGAAATCAATATAAAACTATTTATAACCAAATAGCTGATAGATGACTTTTAAGTATATGGAAGTAAAAATAAATATTTAGTGGCAAAATAAATTTGAATTTTCCTTTCAATTACTCAGTTTGATCTAATGCAATTTTATGAACAAATTACATCCTGTCTTCTAATACTAAATATTTTCTTCTACTCTCTTGGCAAGAAAACATCTATATAAAATTAATGGTTTAGAAAATTCAATAAAATTCGTATTAAAAACAAGATTTTCCTCTAAAAGTTGCGCTGTAATAAAATATTTAATACAATAAATGACACAATTTTGTATGTAAAACGGTTTGCTCCCTTTAACGTTTTTTTGGTGAATTTTTGCTAAGACAAAGCAAAACTAATATGTAAGTAAGCTAAGAAAAACTAAAAACAATTCAAAGCTCAGAAATGGAAATGTAACTGAAACTAAAAAAAGAATCATATTTGCATTTTAGTTCTTTAGTAGAAAAGCAAAACAAAAAACAAAGAACCCATAGTACTCGTCATACTAGCATTAGCATTTTCTTGTCATAAAATAATTATTCATGAGATTTTGCTAAACTTAAACATTCAGTTCTTTAGTTAAATGACACAAGTGTCCTTCTTAGCCATTATCCTTTTTTCTACTCTTCTTTCTTACACAAACAAAGAAACAGATACACACTATCACACAAACACTATGGAAAAAAACTACACCATTTCCAAATGTTTGGCAGAAATTTACTATAAAATTTCCTAACTTTCTAAAAGATTTCAGAAATGTTCAAACTTTAAAATAATATTGGAAGTTATTTAAAAAAATTTAAAAACATTATCTGAAATTCATTTGGAAATGGTGTTAACATTTGGAAAATATTCTCTTACATTTGGCTGCATTCGTATTCGTTCGTATGTAAGTTTGTATGTATATATTGTATTTAATTTTAAAAGTATGTATTTGAAACTAACACACACACACATTCGAAATGAGTAGACAATTATAATGAAATTAACAATGTAGGTTAGTAATACTATTACATTTTAAATTATTTAATTCGAAACGTATTTAGTCAGGCAGTAGTAGTTCTCAGTAAAACCTTTAAATCCTCTTTAAATTAGTTTTAAATTTATTTTATTTTTTAGTTACAATCCATTTAATTCAAACACTTTTTAACTAATTTTATCACATTCCACTTACAGACCCAATATCAAATATCAATATTCCGCTTTAGATAGTGGCAATGGCATTGTGGAGCGTTCACCGCGTGAAAGAGCCGCCCGTGAAAAGGCTCTCAATGCCACCCAAGAGTGGATACAACAATCAAATGGTAGATATGAAGTAATTGCTCATTTAGATGAAATCGGCTCGAGACATGGTAAAAATTGGTTTCTAGTAACCGATGCCTCGGTAAGTTTATATTTACAACAATAACAAACAAGATTGAACTTCCTTTAATCGCATATTTTCTTTATTTTATATTTAATTTTTTAAGGTTCGCACCGATCGTTTAATGACTTTATTAACCCTGCCTCCTGACTGTGTCGCATTTGAAGATCTATCGCCTAACGAAAGTCCTCGCAATATATTAATGGAACTTTTGGGTTCTCTACATCATCCTTATATTTATCCCGTTTTGGATTTGGGTTTTCTGCACACCAATTCGGGTAATTATGCCTGCTTGGTGACACCATTCAATTCAAGGGGTAGTCTTAAGGATTTAATATATAAGGTGAGTTGAGAAAGCACATTTCAATATCGATGGTCTCCTACTTTATCAGAGTTTGGTATAGGCTATGTTTTAACTTGCACCTTTTCTTAATTTCCTCAATTAAATACACACTCAAATAACACACTTTGACCAAATTTAGTTGATTTCCAAACTAATCTGTTGCACGAAAGATATGAGTTTTTTCTGCAGATGTACAATGTACATTTGGAATAGATCTTACAGAAGGTGCAATGACCGAGAAAGTAAATAAAGGTTTTCTCCTAGACTTGATAATTTCTGCAGAATTCATGGGAAACATATGGTGGGAAGCTCAAAGAGATCTACTTGCGTCAATTGATCCCCTATTTTATCAGTTCCTAATAGTAAGTATTTTAGCCATTAGATCGAAAGGTACCCAGTTCAGGACCGTAATGGTCAGTTTTTTTGCAACTCAACCTGGAAGTTTCACCGAATCGATTCACTAAAGAAAAAGTTGTGAGAGAATCTGATTCTCCCTATAAAATCCAGTCTATAAACGTCGGATAAAGCCTAATAGGCTACAAGGGTTCCGAAATTTCGCCCAGTTCTACATGGAACCTATTTCCCAGCCAATTCAACCTGAGATTCTGTGTTCTAGGACAGTGGCGAATTAAGTGTTCAACTTTCTCTAATTCCTCTGCATCTTCGCATATCCTGCAATAGTACGGTATATTAATGTACCACTTTCTGGATGGGTAGAACGACATAGATCTTATGGGGTGACCCTAACGAAAGCAGGACTAGAAGCCTCCTCAAAATGAGCAAATTTGAGGAAAGTATGATGGTACGTATTCTGAGTGAACCCACAGGATTACGATTGTAGAGCATGTAGAGAGGACAATGAAACTCTATCTTGGGAGTGATATTATTCCGGATTTAACGTCCCCCACGCACACTGATTTGAAAATTCTTAGGAATTCTTAGAAAACTGAGTTTCTGAACATGGGACGATAATGCATTCAGTGAATACTATATAAGGTTTTTATACCCACCATCAAAAAAGATGGGGGGTATATTGATTTTGTCATTCCGTTTGTAACATATCGAAATATTGGTCATAGACCCACAAAAGTATATATATTCTGGGTCCTCATTAAATTCTAAGACGATCTAGCCATGTCTGTCCGTCTGTCTGTCTGTTGAAAGCACGATAGAGTTCCAATGGAAAAAGCTAGAGGGTTGAAATTTCACATAAATATTTCTTATAGGTAAGGTTCGTTTGGTATTGAAAATGGGCAATATCGGTCCACGTTTTCGGATAGCCCCCATACAAGTGGCCCCTCGAAAAGCAGCTTTAACAGCCATAACTTCTTTAAAAATACGAATATAGCGATGAAATTCGACATAAGTAAGTTTCTTATGATCCAAAATCACTATGCAAAATTTTATGAGGATCGGTCCATGATTGACCCTATCCCCCATATAAGGTCCCCTTCAGAAAATGGCTGCAACGCTCATTAATGGCTTAAAAATACGAGTGTAGCGATGAAATTCGACACAAATAAATTTAATACGAACCAAATTCTGTCTACCAAATTTTATGAGGATCGACCCATAATTGACCCTACCCCCTATATAAGGCCCCCTTCAGAAAATTACTTTAACGCTTATAACTGGCCTAAAAAATACGAGTTTATAGATGAAATTCGACATAAGTAAGTTTCATTCGAATCAAACGAGGTTTGATGGTGGGTATATAAGATTCGGCATAGCCGAATATAACACTCTTACTTGTTGTTTTTACCAACAAAAATTTTTCCATGAAAAAGAGTGCACAACAGACCCAATAGTGGCTCAGGCGTAGTTCTACTGACGACGGCCCTAATTGAGCAATACGCCGTTAAATTCCCTGTAAAAATCCATAAACTGCGCATATACAGTCCTACAAGTACCATAGTAGACCTCACATCAAATGTGGCTTTGATATTTTGCAATCCATTCTACAATTTCAGGACAGGTTGATGGTGCCACGAATCCTCTCGAAAATCAAAACAAGTTTCAAACAAAGTTTCACTCCTATTTCCCCAGTCCAGCTAGTTAGTTAGTTAGTTAGTTTGAAAGGAGGATGTATATACATCAAATCCGAAGAAATACACCTAGGCCTCTATCGGGCCTGTTGTGCGCTCCTTAACCAGTGCCTCAGGTGGGAACACTAACCACTAACCTACCGGAGGCCAGCTAGTTAGTCCGCAATCTCATTACTATGCGCACTGCAGTACTCCAGCATCGAACACTGTCTAATAGTTCCGTCGTTTTTGCAGACGGTACGGCATCCGTACCGCTATCCATCTTGGACCCGTCGGTAAAAACTGCACACCCATCAAACAGTCTATCAGATTACAAGACAATCTTCCCTAGTTAGAAATTCCATTGAAGGTATTTCCCCGAAAACTAGAGTCGTAATTCTAAGATCTGTAATTCCACAGGGGGAGTTACCATGATCAAGTAGTAGGTGTTGCTGAGGTGTATTTGTTAGGGGTCACTTTTGACAGCCTATTTACCTTCTTAGCTCATGCCACTGCATTTACGCGAAGTAGAAACAAGGTCCTCAAAGTACTAACCGGCAGTACTTGGGGAATGGAAAAAGAACCAACCAAAACTATTGGCCGGTCAGTGGTCAATTATGCTGCTCCAGTGTGGTCTTCTTCGCTGAATGGTAATCAGTGGAGAAATATTCAAAGCTGCCAAAATTCTGCCCTACGGACTGTAACGGGCTGTTTGCAAATAACCTCGGAGCCCCACCTACACGAGGAAATGAATGTCCTCACAGTTCCTCCTGGGATCTCACCAGAGGAGTCATTCCAACTTCAACATCACACAGTTCGATGCCGCCCGAGGCATGTCAGGAAGGACCTTCGTGTATACGAGGAAAGCATACAAAGATATGTGCAGAATCCCTTGGATCGTAATTCGTATATGGCAGCTTTGAACAACATTCATTGAGACGCTAGGTTACCGCATGAATGTCATTCTTGTAGGTCACCCACCCCCCTATAGCAAAAATAGAGAAGAACCTGCCGCGGAAAACAAGAGTTGCTCTGACATAACTGAGATCGGGATGGAGCAACAGGCTCAACGCCTACTATTCCGGCATAGACCGTTCCGAATATATGCCCAGCATATGGACAGGATCCCCAATAATACCCACCACATATTCAACTGTCCAGCCCACCCTACTTTACTTAGCCCAATAGATTTATGGACTAATCCCCGGATTAACAATTGCATAGTTTAAGCTGTTACAACAACAACAACAACAAGTAGACCCACTTCGTACAGGAGTTTTATGTGATTGTCGCGCGAATATTTGACTAACGAAGACTCAAGGAGCCTTACCATACCCGCAATAAGACCGCTTGTGCAGTACTGCTAATGGCACCAGTTATGCCAAGCGAGGTACCCCTTTGAGCTTTATTGAACAACTTGCTATAACTGTCCTTCCTCAAAGCCTCGTACCAGACAATACAACCATAAGTCAGGATTGGCCTAACAACCGATGTATAAATCCAATTAACCATATCCGGATGCAGATCCCAGTTCTTTCTCGCATGTACAGAAGGCATTGACTACCTTTGTCGTTCTTTCTTGAGTTTTTTTTCAGGAAAGCTTGCTATCAAGGAAAGTCTATTAATACTTAGATCCTCCAGATATGCTTACTTAGAGGCAATTAAGCGGCATAAAATTTAACGCGAATATTATTCAGCGAAATTTTTACCAAATTTCCACTTTTATCATATTCTCATTTCTCACTGCATTGGATTTCAGTGTTTTTCCAATTAATATAAACTTTTTGGCAAATAATTACATTTTTTTTCCACAATTTCATTTAATGATTTCATAGCTCCCAATTTCACCATAAAGAAGCCATAAACCATTATTTTATAGTTTATATTTTTACAATTAAAATGTAATACCAAAAAAAAAAAAACAATAAAGTACAAAAACACATAAATAACAGTTTTAATTATAAATGTGTCGATTTAAAGATTATTTTTAATGTTTGCTGTAATTAAAAAAAAAAAAAACAATTTTGTTGTGTTTGTTTTCTTTAGCCAATAATTAATAAATACATACGTATTATTTTTATTTTTTAATTTATAGGCCCAATGGAATGAACCTTGGTCACGTAAATACACACGTAAACCAAATGGTTTGCCAGTCACGCAAGTACAACGTTTGGGCAGACAAATCTTGGAGGCATTGCTCTTTCTCAAAGAACGAGGCTTCCCATTGCATGGTCATTTGCATAGTGGAAATGTGATTTTACAAAACGGTGCTGCCAGGTAATTTGAATAAGATTTTTGTTTTTTCTGAAGTAAAAAAACCTAATAATTATGCAGTAGTAAGTTGTATTTGTAAAAGCCTAAAAGTAGGCAATTGCCTACTTAATGTGGTAATAAAAAATGTTATGGTATGTTGTAATTCAAATTTTTCTAGTGGTTTTCAATTAGAGAGCAATTTACTGAAAAATTGCTTTACATTCAAAAAAAAATTAAATTTTAGTTTTATTGTTGTTATTTTCTATATCATCACATATTTCGTAAGGAATTGCCTCATACAAAAGTTGTTCCAAAAACTGAATATTTTATACAATTCAAAACATGAATAGTAAAATATGTATTTACTTTCTCCCAAAAGTATAAAACATCTATTACAATAGAATTGAAATGTAAATGTTTGCATGGTACAAGGGATGTGTGAGAAGTATACAGGCAAATAATTCAAATGTTTAGTTTATTATTTTTTTTTTTTTTTTTTTTTGTATATAAATATTATAAACTAAATCTATTGAAATATTTTCGTGCAATACATTGCACAAACAAGTTTCTGTATAAATTTAAAATTTACTACCACCCTCGTATCTCTTCTGAGTGCGTGAATATGTAAGAATATTTGAAAATTTAATCTTGGTTTCAACAATTGCAGCATATTTTGCATAAAACTTATTTTTTGTAAATAACATAAAGGAAAGAAAATGTGTTTTTTCATAAGTTATTGTTGAAAATAAAAAAGAACAGGAAATAGTCAGATGGGAAAAAAACAACATCAATCACCATCCATTCTTGTTGCACTCTAATTCACCTAAAAGTATGCCACTGTTAGCAATGTATATTAACTATTAAAAACTTTTCAAAATCCAACAAAAATTTTACTTGCTCAGCGAAAGTATATTAAAAATACCTTGACTTAAGTACAGTGAGGAACAAAATTAAATGTACAGTTATACAAATTTTTGCTATTGCTTCTAAAGTTAATTGAAGAAAATACAAATAAATACAATTTAAAGCTTTTAAAAAAGGCCTGTTTTCTAAAGTCCATATCCAAATCAACTTCCAAATCAATACTGCTAACAATCTTGGTATTCCGGTATCCGAGGACTTTTTCTCAAAAAAGGCGTTATTTTTGTTAGGTTAGTTATGTTTATAGGAGGATGTATCTACATCATATCCGAAGAAATACACCTAGGCCACTGTCGGGTCTGTTGTACGCTTAGTTTTCATGTAAATGTATTATTATCCGATGTTCAGTAATTCACTTTTCTCGATGTAATTCCGAAGAATTTCCCAATCGGTGTTCGTGAACGATGTTATATCCGGAATAATATCACTCACAAGATATTTTGATTGAATTTCGGCGAAAGCCTGACAATGGCAAAGAAAGTGTTTCAGAGTTTCATTGTCCTCTCTACATGCTCTACATTCCTCTGAATCCGCACGTCCAGGTGTCCCCGTAATCCTGTGTGTCGACTCAGAATACGTACCATCTTACTAACAGACTTGTTCATTTTTAGTATAGGATCTTTGTGGTTCTACTCACAGTTTCATTATTCCAAAAGACCTTATGGATTTCTCTCAACCATAATTTTGTCAGGTTAACTACCTCAAGCTTCCTTCTCTTTAAAGCTATTACATTCGCTCTTTCATTGCCGACTACTCCCGAGTGGCCTGGTACACATATGATGTAGACCTTACCTCTGGGAGAGCATTCGGTTAGAGCTTTTTTAACATTCCATAAAAAGGATTTAATATCCTTCTAACTTTTTCAGTACTCTCTTATCCGTGAAAAGTTTTACGGTATAGTTTGGTGTTACAGGAGTGAAATATGATCACTATAATCTGGGCTTAAAAGAACTATGTTTTATAGTGCCCAATAAGACCTTTTAAAGCATAAATTGCTAGAAGCCCTGTGAATGGACGATCCCAGTGGGACATGACTTTTATTCTTTGCATAGTAATCGAAAAATCGCAAATTTCGATTGTAAACTACTAGAGAAAATGAATGTTTTACCAGTCAAGAAACACAACGTTATGTTATCTAAACAGTTTCCCCTGGGATTTCACCACACAAGTGAAACATTACACAGTTTGATGCTGCCCCGAAGCATGTTCGCAGTTGTAAACTACTAGAGGAAATGAAGGTTTTACCAGTCAAGAAACACACCACAAAAGTGAAACATTGCACAGTTTGATGCTGCCTCGAGGCATGTCTGGAACTACCTTTGTATATATGGGGAAAATATATGTAGTTACTTGAAAGTTCCTATGGATCTATCCTCGTATACGACAGATTTGAAGAAAACTTGTCATGGAAATCCAGAGCAGTTCTGGCACAACTTAAATAGAGAGGGAGCAAGAGGCTATTTGCCTACTGGTCCCGTATAGATCGTGTCATCTCTAACGAATCATGACACCCACCACATATTTAACTGCTCAGCCAACCCTATTTGACTTTGTCCAATGGATTTATGGAGGCAACTCATTAAAGTAGCACAATCTTTAAGGTCTCGACATCGATGAAGATACTTCAAACTTCAGCCAATCGTAAATTATAAAAAAAAAATTTAACATGCTGATTGGATGTAAAGAGGAGAGTAAAACTCTGGAATTCTTTCTTTGTAATTTTCAGATTTTCATCGAAATTAGATCCAAATATCTTGGCAACAATATTATTCCGGATATAACATCCCTTACGAACACAGATTGGAAACTAAGAATTTTTTATAGGAATGCCTCAATCTTCGACATTATTTCTCTATTATGAAATCTTATTGCAAATAAAATCCATTTCAGTATCTGTAATCGATTTGTTTAGATCTCTTGAATACAAAGAATGACACTAGTTTATATCGAAAATTTCCAGTTTTGTATTAAAAAATAATAAATACTTTTTCGACGTATATTTCTATGCTCTATGTATGTGGAATGGATAGGGCCGATTTGAAATTTCCAAAAATTTTATAAAAGTTATTACCCTAATGTACATTGTACTACATACCATATAATTTAGGTAATTTTAAGATAAACGACCTGTAATCCTTTGGTTAATATTCCGAAACATAAGGTCATTAAGGCTGGAACTATAGCTATTAGTTCCAACTGCAACAATTATGTTTGAAAATATATGTCTAGTTCCTTTTACAGACAAAGGTATAACGAACTTGTTTGTAAACTGCTAAAGTTATCCAAGATCATAAATAGACAATTGGACGAAGGTCATCTAACTTACACTTCTTCTAAAAGATTTTCTGTGGAAATGTATAGCATGTAGAAGATTGTAACACAATTAGGGTTCTATAAATCGACTTTCGAATAATCGAACAATCGACTTTTTGTCGAAAAAAGTCGAAAAGTCGAAGTCGACTATTTTGTTCCAAAAAAGTCGATAACTCGACTATGGTCTGTGAAAAAAGTCGAAAAGTCGACTTTGTTAATAAAAGTCGAAAAGTCTGAAAGTCGAAAAGTCGAAAAAAGTCGATAAGTCGAAAAAAGTCGAATAAAGTCAAAAAAAGTCGAATAAAGTCGAAAAAAAGGCGAAAAGTCGTAAACAGTCGAAAAAAGTCGAAAAATCGGAAAAGTTATCCAAGATCATAAATAGACAATTGAACGAAGGTCATCTAACTTACACTTCTTCTAAAAGATTTTCTGTGGAAATGTATAGCATGTAGAAGATTGTAACACAATTAGGGTTCTATAAATCGACTTTCGAATAATCGAACAATCGACTTTTTGTCGAAAAAAGTCTAAAAGTCGAAGTCGACTATTTTGTTCCAAAAAAGTCGATAACTCGACTATGGTCTGTGAAAAAAGTCGAAAAGTCGACTTTGTTAATAAAAGTCGAAAAGTCGAAAAGTCTGAAAGTCGAAAAAAGTCGATAAGTCGAAAAAAGTCGAATAAAGTCGAAAAAAGTCGAAAAGTCGTAAACAGTCGAAAAAAGTCGAAAAAACGGAAAGAGTCGAAAAGTCGGAAAATGTCGAAAACTCGAAAATTGTAGAAACAAGTCAAAAATAGTCGAAATCTTAAAAAAAGTGGAAAAAAGTCAAAAACTCTAAAATAGTAGGAAAAACTCGAAAAAAGTCAAAAAATAGTCGAAAAAAAGTCGAAAATAGTCAAAAAGTCGAAAAAATCGAAAAGTCGGAAAAAGTCGAAAAGTCGGAAAAAGTCGACTATTTATAAAATACTTATAGTCGAAAAGTCGACTTTTAATTAAATGAAAAAAGACGAAAAGTCGAAAAATCAACTTTTCATAAAATGCAAAAAGTCGAGAAGTCGAAAAGTCGACTTTTAACTAAATGAAAAAAGTCGAAAAGTCGACTTTTCGTTTCAACTATAGAACCCTAAACACAATTACCAACATATCCTAGATACATGGATTTCTTGTAAATCAAAAGATCCTACAACTTTACAAAAATGTCTGTTAACTATTATGTTGCAATTATTTAATAAATATTTAAGTTAACAGATATTAATACATTTTTAGTAGTAGTAATAAGGCAATAAAATCTCCAATCAATACATATTATTGTTCTGAAATAAATTGTAATTTTTTAATAACCAATTTAAGAACACTCTGTTATATACATTGTACATACGTATATATGAAAGTATATTCATGACGCACAGTGGTATAGGAAAAAAAAAAGAGGGAAATAATTCGGTAACTTCTAAACGGTTAATCCGATTTTAATGAAATTTGGTGTGCACAAAGAGGAGGTGTTGTCGAGTTTAGGTTTTGAATTTGGACCTTATAGGCCAACCAGGGGCCCGGCGGGGGGTCATCAAATTAGGACACCTCGGCTATGTTAAATTTTTAAAACGATCCTATTTCTTCATTTGAGTTCCGATTTAAAAAAAATTTCGTATATAGAATCTCCTCATCGAGCACTATAAAAAATGTTGTCATAGCAGTAAATTATCTCTTATAGTTTAGGAGATATTCGCATTTGAAAATTAAAATTTTAAAATTTTTACCGTCCTTACTTTAGTTTTTTTTGATAATAGCAGGTCCAAATATTCCCGATTTTCGCCATTTTGTTTTATTCGCTTAACAACAAGTTTATATATCAAGCAGTGAAAGAATTATGTAAAAATCATGACTGAGTCCAAAGTTATAGGCATTTTAATTTAAAAAATTAAAAAAAGGCGATTTTTTGTCATTTTTTTGGGAAAAAAGTATCTTTTTCTTTTTAAGTTATCTAAAAAGTTTCTAAGAAGATGTATATAGAATTTATACTTTTTGGAAAGCTGACTTTACATGAAGTACGATAAATGAAACAAAACCTAAAAATTTTTGATACCGAGGGGACCAGGTCCATCCAAAAAAACCCTATTTTTTATGGAAAATTAAATTTTGAGCAAAAATTCTCAAATCGCATAGTCGATATCAAATTATAGTGACCTGTTTTATATGACCCAATATGTTCTTAATCATTTTGTAACGGGTTTCGATAACCCCGCCCCTGGTATGGATATAATAGGCAAAAAACTAAAAAATCCCATTTTTGGGATTTTTTAAAACTTTTTTGGGAATTCCGGGATTTCTAATAAGAAAATTCGAAATTTTGATTTAATTTTGGATTTTAAGTAAAAAAATCTACCTAACTGTAAAATTTCATCAAAAAATATTCATAAATAAAATTTTTATTGCAATTAGAAAAATTTGTATCTTCGCAAAAACTGAATAAAAAACATTTTTTAATTTTTTTTTAAAAAAAGTATTCCGCGAATTTTTTAATTTTCAAAAATTATATACAGTTATACTCTTAAATTTGTTACATATATGGATGAAAATAATAGTGCTAGGTAAATTTTCTAAAAGATGTTGAGTTTTCCCTAATTAATTTGTCACTTAAAAAACATTAGGTAGGCATGTTATATATCAATGGAAAGGTAATTTTGTCTATTTTTCAAAACTGTATATAATTTTTGAAAATTAAAAAATTCGCGGAATACTTTTTTTAAAAAAAATTAAAAAATGTTTTTTATTCAGTTTTTGCGAAGATACAAATTTTTCAAATTGCAATAAAAATTTTATTTATGAATATTTTTTGATGAAATTTTACAGTTAGGTAGATTTTTTTACTCAAAATCCAAAATTAAATAAAAATTTCGAATTTTCTTATTAGAAATCCCGGAATTCCCAAAAAAGTTTTAAAAAATCCCAAAAATGGGATTTTTTGGTTTTTTGCCTATTAAATCCATACCAGGGGCGGGGTTATCGAAACCCGTTACAAAATGATTAAGAACTTATTGGGTCATATAAAACAGGTCACTATAATTTGATATCGACTATGCGATTTGAGAATTTTTGCTCAAAATTTAATTTTCCATAAAAAATAGGGTTTTTTTGGATGGACCTGGTCCCCTCGGTATCAAAAATTTTTAGGTTTTGTTTCATTTATCGTATTTTATGTAAAGTCAGCTTTCCAAAAAGTATAAATTCTATATACATCTTCTTAGAAACTTTTTAGATAACTTAAAAAGAAAAAGATACTTTTTTCCCAAAAAAATGACAAAAAATCGCCTTTTTTTAATTTTTTAAATTTAAATGCCTATAACTTTGGACTCAGTCATGATTTTTACATAATTCTTTCACTGCTTGGTATATAAACTTGTTGTTAAGCAAATAAAAAAAAATGGCGAAAATCGGAAATATTTGGACCTGCTATTATCAAAAAAACTAAAGTAAGGACGGTAAAAATTTTAAAATTTTAATATTCAAATGCGAATATTTCCTAAACTATAAGAGATAATTTACTGCTACGACGACATTTTTTATAGTGCTCGATGAGGAGATTCTATATACGAAATTTTTTTTAAATCGGAACTCAAATGAAGAAATAGGATCGTTTTAAAAATTTAACATAGCCGAGGTGTCCTAATTTGAGGACCCCCCGCCGGGCCCCTGGTTGGCCTATAAGGTCCAAATTCAAAACCTAAACTCGACAACACCTCCTCTTTGTGCATACCAAATTTCATTAAAATCGGATTAACCGTTTAGAAGTTACCGAATTATTTCCCTCTTTTTTTTTTCCTATACCACTGTGTGACGTCCTTGTTTTAATGCAAATAAACTCCATGAAATTGGATGTCACGTTTCGTAACGTATCGTCGTAGTATTACTATTGTTCACATTTTTTTTGCCTTAATTCAAATAATTGTCATAATTATACGCTCGTTCCACATTTTAACTGTCACATTAATATGTGTATCAACATTACGTTGCAAGTAGCAAGTCTCTGTTCTTTACTTATGTGAATATGAATGTAAATGCGAATGAATTATAAATGCCACATGTTAACAAGGCTAAAAACAAACAAACAAACAAACAATTCGTAATAAAATTAAGATAAAAGAATACAATGTCTGAACATATTATTTAAACAAAAAAATATATAGAAATGGTTGTTGATTGTTGTTAATTTCAAACAATAGCATAATTAAAAGTCATAATAACACAAAGCAAACATTTGCACAGACTATGTACTCATGCATATGGACACACACACATATATACAGTAAATATTATAATATCGGGTAAGGCCAGGAAGGGTGCTGAAAGAATTATACACTTTTTTGTAATTGAGCTACTTTAGAGAACAATGGACAATTGTAATCCAATTTCTGTTTTTTGTTTCTCTTAGATTATCTGGTCTCGAAAATGGTCTACTGGGACTATCGTCACGCATTAATGCAGTAATGTGGTCACGTTCTACTACAGACATCGAAAATGTTGATATCATTTGTTTTGGCCATCTGCTGTATGAAATGTGCATGGGCCAAGAGATGACAACACCCAAACCGTCCATGAGAGTGTTAGAAATGGAAATGGAACAATTTCCACAGGTATTTATAATTCGAAGAAAATATTTTCTATAAGATTATAGAAAGGAAAAAATAATGTTTATGTTAATTAGATTTTAGATGTATTGAGTTTAATATTTGAACCACCTAATGGCGCATGTCCTTCTGTGGAGGAACTGGTATTATGTGATTTATTTAGATCAATTGATTTACGAGAACTGAGGGGACCTTGTTTTAATGTAAGTCGATCGAAATATTAATTATCTATGTACTAGTCCTTTATCTATGAACTATATCTTTGACTAGTCTATAGACTGTTAAATGGTTAATGCATTAGTCTACGGACTGGTCTATGTCTGGTTTAGAACTGAACTAGAACTAAACTAGAACTGAACTAGAACTGAACTAGAACTGAACTAGAACTGAACTAGAACTGAACTAGAACTGAACTAGAACTGAACTAGAACTGAACTAGAACTGAACTAGAACTGAACTAGAACTGAACTAGAACTGAACTAGAACTGAACTAGAACTGAACTAGAACTGAACTAGAACTGAACTAGAACTGAACTAGAACTGAACTAGAACTGAACTAGAACTGAACTAGAACTGAACTAGAACTGAACTAGAACTGAACTAGAACTGAACTAGAACTGAACTAGAACTGAACTAGAACTGAACTAGAACTGAACTAGAACTGAACTAGAACTGAACTAGAACTGAACTAGAACTGAACTAGAACTGAACTAGAACTGAACTAGAACTGAACTAGAACTGAACTAGAACTGAACTAGAACTGAACTAGAACTGAACGAACTGAACTAGAACTGAACTAGAACTGAACTGGAACTGAACTAGAACTGAACTAGAAATGAGCTAGAACTGAACTAGAACTGAACTAGAACTGAACTAGAACTGAACTAGAACTGAACTAGAACTGAACTAGAACTGAACTAGAACTGAACTAGAACTGAACTAGAACTGAACTAGAACTGAACTAGAACTGAACTAGAACTGAACTAGAACTGAACTAGAAATGAACTAGAAATGAACTAGAACTAAACTAGAACTGAACTAGAACTGAACTAGAACTGAACTAAAACTGAACTAGAACTTAAACCAAACTAGAACCGAACTAGAACTGAATTTGAAATGAAATAGAACTGAATTAGAACTGAACTTGAACTATAATTAAAACTGAACGAATCTGTTGGTTAATAGAACTGTGTATTAATCTATTGTGAATACTATAGACAAGTAAATAGACTTCTAGACTAATACATTTACATAATACACTAATCTTGACCATGGACTAGTCTATTCTATAGATTAATCTATTATCAAAGTGATGATGAAATAGGATAAAAAATTTAAAATTGAATTGTTTTTCATAACAGACCATTAAGCCCAGTCTCAGTAGATCAACCTTAAATTTACTACAAGCCGTTAAAAAACGCCAATGTGCTTCATTGGGCAATTCGTTCAGTGAGACCAGTTCCCCATGTACACCACCCTCAACACCAAGAGATAGAAGATCAGGGTAAGTTTCAAATTTTTTCCTTGATACTCACTCACTTAAAAAACAATAAAAATATTAAACAATTTTAAATAAATGTACAAAAAATGAGCTGTTAATAAGAAAAATAGGATGAACATATTTTTAAATAAATTTCAATGTTGTGATTTAGTAATTTATTTCGAAGTCGCCAGAAAAATAAACTATGAAAATTTGGATAAAATATTGAAAAAATTGAAACAGTATTCAGTTTTTTCATAGTTTATTTTTTGGGTCTCTTCGCTAATTTTGAACATGTTTACGTTCGCGTTTTGTTACTTTTATTATTATTATTAATACATAATTACTATTGTTAATTATATTTTCTGTGTACAAAAAAAAAACAACAGCAACAAAATAATAACAATGACAAAATTACTCTGTTCTTTTATTTTCCAAAATTTAATATATCTATTTATAAATAAATAAACTCATAATCTTTGTTGTTTCATTTACATAATGTTTATTTACTACTAAATTATGCATAAACAGACATTATGTTTTTTCTTCTTCTTCTTTTTTACTATATAAATATATATATTTTTACTGTTACTCTGCCTAAAGACCCCCCTCTATACCACCATTAACTATTTAAATATTTAATTCCCTTTTTTGCTCTTTTTTAAATCAAACCAAAAATTTAACAGACAAAACTAAAACAATTTTTTACTTAAAAACGAAATAAAGATAAATATTTTTGTTGTAGCATGTTTATAAATTTAATAAATATTTAAGTAATTTAAATAATAATTAAGATTGTTTTTTATATAAACAATACATTTTTTATAATATTTATTGAAATATTTTATTAAAAACTTTATACGTAATAATGTTTAATTTCGTTAACATTATTTTATTTTTAGAGCAAAAACTTTTTGTACATTTTATTTCTTATAACCCCGACCCCCAAAAATAAAAACTAAACCCAAAAGCAGATAAAAAACAAATTTATTGAAATGAGTTTAATCTGCCTTACATGTGGGAAGTGTTATCTAAAGAGGAGACATTATAGAAAGTTTTTTTGTGTGGTAAACTGTGAACAATATAAATATTTTAAACAAAGTTTTATCATTTTTGCAATTGACATTTTTAGTTCAAAAATAAATAAACTATAAATTTATAATAACGTAAGTGACACTATGGCGTTGAACACAGGGAAAATAGTTTGGTTATGATTTTTTATCACGAATTATTCAACAAACATTTTTTATATCCAATAAAGCGATCGAATTGCTCGAGAATATAATCGCTCTTATCTTTCGCCGAGAAGAGTTGTTCCTTAATGAAGGAATATATTTACAACTTTACTTACTTAATTACTGAGCTAGAACTGAACTAGCACTAGAACTGAACTAGAACTGAACTAGAACTGAACTAGAACTGAACTAGAACTGAACTAGAACTGAACTAGAACTGAACTAGAACTGAACTAGAACTGAACTAGAACTGAACTAGAACTGAACTAGAACTGAACTAGAACTGAACTAGAACTGAACTAGAACTGAACTAGAACTGAACTAGAACTGAACTAGAACTGAACTAGAACTGAACTAGAACTGAACTAGAACTGAACTAGAACTGAACTAGAACTGAACTAGAACTGAACTAGAACTGAACTAGAACTGAACTAGAACTGAACTAGAACTGAACTAGAACTGAACTAGAACTGAACTAGAACTGAACTAGAACTGAACTAGAACTGAACTAGAACTGAACTAGAACTGAACTAGAACTGAACTAGAACGGAAACTAGAACTGAAACTAGAACTGAACTAGAACTGACTAGCAACTGCACGAAACTGAACTAGAACTGAACGAGAACTGAACTAGAACTGAACTAGAACTGAACTAGAACTGAACTAGGAACTGAACTAGAACTGGAACTAGAACTAACTAGAAACTGAACTAGAACTGAACGAGACGAACAGAACTGGAAACTAGAACTGAACTAGAACTGAACTAGAACTGAACTAGAACTGAACTAGAAATGAACTAGAACTGAACTAGAAACTGACTAGAACTGACGAAACTGAACTAGAACTGAACTAGAACTGAACAAACGAACTAGAACTGACTAGAACTGAACTAGAACTGAACGAGAACTGAACTAGAACTGAACTAGAACTGAACTAAGAACTGAACTAAAGAACTGAACTAGAAACTGAACTAGAACTGGACTAGAACTGAACTAGAACTGAACTAGAACTTTTTTTTTTTTTTTTTGTTTAATTATTTATTAATTTATATATTAATTTCATTAGATTTTTGATTTACAATGATTCTTAAATCTAAAACAATTGTTTGTATAAATATATGAAAATTAGAAACCCGCTAACCGTTCGGCTTGTCAGCAGGTGAAAAAAAATATATGTAAAATTTAACAAAAACAATAGATATTTAATTAACGTAATTATTGCGAACTTATAAAATGTTCTTTTAAAAGTTTTTTTCGTTTGTAATTACTAGTGTTGTTTAAAATGTGTATAGGTATTTTGTTCATTATAGTTGGTATGAACTAGAACTGAACTAGAACTGAATTAGAACTGAACTAGAACTGAACTAGAACTGAACTAGAACTGAACTAGAACTGAACTAGAACTGAACTAGAACTGAACTAGAACTAAACTAGAACTGAACTAGAACTGAACTAGAACTGAACTAGAACTGAACTAGAACTGAATTAGAACTGAACTAGAACTGAACTAGAACTGATCTAGAACTGAACTAGAACTGAACTAGAACTGAACTAGAACTGAACTAGAACTGAACTAGAACTGAACTAGAACTGAACTAGAACTGAACTAGAACTGAACTAGAACTGAACTAGAACTGAACTAGAACTGAACTAGAACTGAACTAGAACTGAACTAGAACTGAACTAGAACTGAACTAGAACTGAACTAGAACTGAACTAGAACTGAACTAGAACTGAACTAGAACTGAATTAGAACTGAACTAGAACTGAACTAGAACTGAATTAGAACTGAACTAGAACTGAACTAGAACTGAACTAGAACTGAACTAGAACTGAACTAGAACTGAACTAGAACTGAACTAGAACTGAACTAGAACTGAACTAGAACTGAACTAGAACTGAACTAGAACTGAACTAGAACTGAACTAGAACTGAACTAGAACTGAACTAGAACTGAACTAGAACTGAACTAGAACTGAACTAGAACTGAACTAGAACTGAACTAGAACTGAACTAGAACTGAACTAGAACTGAACTAGAACTGAACTAGAACTGAACTAGAACTGAACTAGAACTGAACTAGAACTGAACTAGAACTGAACTAGAACTGAACTAGAACTGAACTAGAACTGAACTAGAACTGAACTAGAACTGAACTAGAACTGAACTAGAACTGAACTAGAACTGAACTAGAACTGAACTAGAACTGAACTAGAACTGAATTAGAACTGAACTAGAACTGAACTAGAACTGAATTAGAACTGAACTAGAACTGAATTAGAACTGAATTAGAACTGAACTAGAACTGAACTAGAACTGAACTAGAACTGAACTAGAACTGAACTAGAACTGAACTAGAACTGAACTAGAACTGAACTAGAACTGAACTAGAACTGAACTAGAACTGAACTAGAACTGAACTAGAACTGAACTAGAACTGAACTAGAACTGAACTAGAACTCAACTAGAACTCAACTAGAACTCAACTAGAACTGAACTAGAACTGAACTAGAACTGAACTAGAACTGAACTAGAACTGAACTAGAACTGAACTAGAACTGAACTAGAACGAACTAGAACTGAACTAGAACTGAACTAGAACTGAACTAGAACTGAACTAGAACTAGAACTGAACTAGAACTGAAACTAGAACTAGAACTGAACTAGAACTGAACTAGAACTGAACTAGAACTGAACTAGAACTGAACTAGAACTAGAACTGAACTAGAACTGAACTAGAACTGAACTAGAACTGAACTAGAACTGAACTAGAACTGAACTAGAACTGAACTAGAACTGAACTAGAACTGAACTAGAACTGAACTAGAACTGACTAGAACTGAACTAGAACTGAACTAGAACTGAACTAGAACTGAACTAGAACTGAACTAGAACTGAACTAGAACTGAACTAGAACTGAACTAGAACTGAACTAGAACTGAACTAGAACTGAACTAGAACTGAACTAGAACTGAACTAGAACTGAACTAGAACCGAACTAGAACTGAACTAGAACTGAATAGAACTGAACTAGAACTGAACTAGAACTGAACTAGAACTGAACTAGAACTGAACTAGAACTGAACTAGAACTGAACTAGAACTGAACTAGAACTGAACTAGAACTGAACTAGAACTGAACTAGAACTGAACTAGAACTGAACTAGAACTGAACTAGAACTGAACTAGAACTGAACTAGAACTGAACTAGAACTGAAATAGAACTAACTAGAACGGAACTAGTACTGAACTAAAACTGAACTAGACGTATAACTAAACCGGAACTGAACTAGAATCAAGGAAATACTGTAATTGATTCAATATGAATGATCTGTTCGCACTGACTTATTAATGAATATTAAAATTTCTACATAGTCTCCTCTATGATACACTTTCCTCCCTCTAAAAAGATAACTTTTTTCCTATTTTTTTTACTAAACTACAAAAAAATTAAACCTAATTTTTTCTTAAAATTTTTTTCATTTACTTTTATTTACACAAAACCAAAATCCTTAACAAAATAAATCAAAATATATGTTTAACCACACTAAACCAAAGAGTCCTACCAGCGCCTTATGAAGTCTTTCGTATGTACTAAAACTTGAAGATCGTAGTACTAAAAAAAATCCAAAACAAAACAAAAATAACTCAAAACCAAATATTGTATAAAACTCAAAAATTGTATTCGAGAAATTTTCTTTTTAAATAAAAAATTTTCAAAAAAAAAAACTATGTAAAAAAATTTACTTTAATTTTGTACAAAATTATTCAACATTTACTTTCGTAAACAAAAAAAAAAAACTTTGGTAAGTTTTTTTCTCTAATTATTTTTAAATAAATTTCATTACTCTTCTTTAAACTCAAAATCAAATTACACCAACATTTTCTTACTTTTTCAAAAACAATGCTATACCTATACCTCCTACTTTCACCCCTATTTTTTGTCTTTCTTTTGAAATTATTTAATTAATTGATAAAATTCTTTCAAAGTAGAAATTTAAAAGCAACATAAGATAACCAAAAAATATACTTAATTGTAAATTTTGTAAAAATAAAACAGCAGTACTAATTAGTAAATATCACTTAAGAACAACATTTACTTAACATAATCCTTTGAACACACAAATACATGGAACATAAATAAATATTCAATTACAAACCCACCTACACCTAGTTTAAACATACACACAACACACCCACACATTTAACTTTTTAAGGATAAATTTGCACCTTAATTTTGCAATTACTTGTGCACTTGGTTTTATTTTGTTTCCTTTCATTCCTAAACTGATTTTATTTAGCCACAAAGTTTGTCTATGAAGAGCAAAAACTGCAATATTGTTTTTTTTTTACTTTTTGCACAAGTATTAAGCAACCAACCAGCTAACCACTCCTTATTGTGAATGTAAATCTGTTTATGATTTTTTCCTAATTTTTTGTACATTTTTAACGACTTCCGGTTTTTCTTTTCCTTTGTTGTTATTTTTAAATTGTTTAGTGTGTTTTGTAGAGTTTTTGCTTGTTTTTGTAATGTATTTTTTTCATAATTGTTTGTTTAGTACTTAATTTTTTTAATAAGCTTGCTAATTAACTATTTTATTTTGTAACTGCATGTTGGTGAAAGATACAAGAAATTCAAACATTATGAAAAAAGAACAAAGAAAAAGTTGTAGATCAGAAACCTAAGGAAAATGTGTTTGAATATGTTGTTAGCTGCTTAAATTAAGTTTCGCTTCCGGTTAGAATCAACATAATTTAAATGCCTGATCGAGCACTAAGTATTTAACTTGATACGCCGAAGGAATGAGATCAAACTGCTGTCAAATGAAACCGAACAAAACAAACCTCCCGAATCCTCCGATTGATTGTTCACCACATATTTTGTTTAGGAACCAATATCTCACGAACCTCCTTTCTTTCTTTTACTACATCTCCTACATGTTCTAAATGACCTTCTTTGTCAGACTTCCAATATAATGAGTACTATATTTATCATTCTTATTCTTGTAATCGTTTCGTTCAAGCCTCTCGGGGATGGAGATAATTAGTCAAAATATGAATTATGATCTTATGAAAATCATTAAAGGGGGTTGTTACAAGTGTATCATAAGTACTTTGGTGAGTCGTAAGCACGATGATTTTACCGCTCAATAGTACTATAGAAATTAGGGAACAAATTTCCGAGTCAGAATTCTACGTAACTCCTTGAAAATAGAACATTAACCCTTAAATTTCCTTTCCTATATAAACAATTATTATAAAAAGCCGTATATATGAGAAACGGCACACGCCGAAGAAATGAGATCAATCTAATGAAACAAAACAATTCAACTCCCCAGTCCTCCGATTGATTGTTCACCACATATTTTGTTTAGGAATCAATATCTCACGAATCTCCTTTCTTCCTTTTACTATATCTCCTACATGTTCTAAATTACCTTCTTTGTCAAACTTCCAATATAATGACAACTATATTTGTCATCCTTATTCTTGAAATCGTTTCATTTAAGCCTCTCAGGGATTGGGATAATGAGTCAAAATATGAATTATGATCTTGTCAAATTGTTAAAGGGGGCGTTACAAGTGTATCTTAAGCACTTTGTTGAGTCGTAAGCACCATGCTTTTACCGGTCAATAGTACTATAGAAATTAGAGAATAAATTCCCGAACCAGAATTCCGCATAACTCCTTGAGAATAGAACAGTAACTGTTAAATTTCCTTGTGACCCATTAACAGTACCAGCAAACTTTCAGTTTATCCTCCACAGTAGTTTAGAATGTATATTGGTCTGAAAGACAAAAGAAATCGTATGCTAAGTCCAAGTTCCATAAATTAGAGTTCAGAACCTACATCACAATTCTTCGTTGAACCAATCATGTCATTCCAGATTAATTTTCTACTGCTAATATAGAGATTCTTTTTTCCGATTCAAGGAAATAAATATGCATACCGCATTTTCCTTTAGTCATCGGAGAAGTGTCTGAAGTTTTAGATATTAATAAACTAGATTGATATGTTGTTGAAGACTTACTTAAGATCTTTCCATAATCGCAAGTTCTTCATCTTTAGCAAATAGTATCAAAGCACTGGAGGTAGATTTAGCCGCTAATTGAAGAGCTGTTAAAAACTATGGTAACGTATTGATCGAAATGTCGAAACAACCGATCGAAGTGTTGTAACCTTTTCTTGTTTAATTTTTACTTATTTAAACCCCCCAACAACATCAGCAGAAGTAATTAGAAGTGATGAACTATGTATACGACTATAGGATCACTGGGATCATCGTTCGTATTGAATTACATGTGTGCGGTCGGTGAATACCTTCCTAGACATTTTTTACTGGAAATTCACAATTCTGCAATGGCGATATTCCGAAACTATATAAATGGGAATTTATTCAAAACATAACTATGTAGTTTTAAAAACAAAATCCTAGCGATGATTCTGATCAATCAATAGTCGTCTCAGCGTAATCTTAATTCGACCAAGTATTTTACATTATATAAAGATCAAAATATGTAGAGGGTTTCAAATACAAGCAGATCCTTTGATTATATTGTTACTGTACTCCGATTTATAATAAAAAAGTCAAGACTGGATATATCATTGCAGAACCACTTTAAAATTAAATCTCCATCTCCGATAACAGGAAAGGCCCACTGCAGGAGAATTATTTACTCAATTTTACTCTACTCTAAATCGTTATTTGGATCGAATTTCAACTTAAGCCTGACAATTTCAAAGAAAGTGTTCTACAGTTTCAGTGTTCTCGCCGCGAGCTCTACATTTGGCTGAATATTCCCGCAATTTTGTATATTTAAACCCTCTAATACTGTGTTACGACTCAGAATACAGAACATCAGACTTACACCGGACTTACTTATTCTCACTAGGCATCTAGTCCTCCTCTCGTTAGTGTTATTCAATACAATCTTTGTGACCTATAAGATTCTCTCAGTTCTCTCGAAAGTTACAAGAAATTATTGTTCATTCCTAATAGCAGCAACATCATATTTAAACTTAAAAATTTTATAATATAAACTAAGCATTGAGCTGCTTAATATATGTAATTACAACATAACATTAAAGATAATTGATTTCATATGTTACCAACATGCATACTAACTTACAATTCTTGATGTTAGTCTATGTACGTTACAGAAATCTTAAAAAGTAAATAAATGTATGTATGTCAAAATGTTAATTGCATGTTTCCTATATCCGGTTCCTGACTTAACTAAAATCATAATAAACACATTCATTCATTCATACATACATGCAATATCTGTGTGCCACATTAGTGCAACATACATCTATCATGCTTTTTCAACAACAATTGGCAGACATAATCAAGCCCAAAACATACTCAATACACCCTTAAACTTTTGCTTCATCTACAACCACTCATAATCATATTGATGACGATGATGAGCAGGATGTAGATGAAAATGAAGAAACTACTTACAACTATTATTACAACAATTGTTATTACAAAAAAGAAAGAAAGAAAAACATAACCTCAAAGATACTTGACATCATAAAAACTAAACTAAAACAATTTATTTTTTCTTTTTCTCTCTCTCTCTCTCTTCTTTTTCCTTCTCCATACCTCGCTGGCTAACTTCTATGCTTTGTTATGTTCCTACGAATATTTTTCGGATTTGTCTACTACGACTACACACTATACGTATGATGATGGTGCAACCATAATCAACAATAGCTTTAGTCGAACAATGGAATCATTTGATTGTATTTCAAGTGATTCGGAAGAAGGGCTACTTGATGAAATCATAGTGGGTTGTAATTTTCAAGCAAAACAATTGCAACGTATGAAACATCATTATCAGCAGCAACAACTGCATCAACAACATCATTACCATCAACATGAGCACACTCATAATGGTTCACAACATGCCTTGGCCATAGGTTATTATCATAGTCAACCGTATTTGTGTCAAAAGTCACAGTATGATCCCATGGAATCACCCATTCACTACTGTGACAATACCACCCAACTTGAGGACAATTCTACACAAGAATTGTTTAATTCCCAAAGGCCGGAAAAGGAGATGCAACAACAGCCACAACAGCAGCAGCAACAACAGCAGCAAACACCCTCTCAGCCCATGATACGTTGCAGTTCTACATGTGATAGTGATTTAAACTTAAAAGGTGCCATTACAGCAAATAGAGGCAGCATTTGTTCATCGGAAAGTGCCACAAGTGTTACAGCCACTACCATAGTTTCGCATGAAGATACAGATCAATCTTCCATAACCACCCAACTGGAGGTGTCTGATTATGAAACCGTTAATTTAAAAGAGAATTTAGGCAACTTAACAGTCAATCACAATCAGTCAGCTACTTCTCATGCCTCTTCATCTTCGTCATCTTCCTCGTCCTCATCTTCTTCATCCACAGCTGGCAGCTCTTTTAATCACCAACTGACTGCGGATATGTGCAACTTTAAGAATTCTAAAAGCCGACGTTTAGAATATTCCTTGAAATGTTTAAAATATGGTCGTAGTAATCCTTCCCAAGATTCTGCCTTTGGCTCTCTAACTGATAATGATCTATCCACGTCCAGCTTTCGTTTAAGCAGTTTTCAATCCATCTCTTCACCCATTGATGAGGGTGTAGAGGATGTTATCATAGCCACTACTACAGCGGGTCATGAAACCTGTTTGGAATTAGCCACCATACCGCGCAGCATGGTATCTCAAGATTCGGCCATTTCCTCGCCTTGTCGGGAGACATCTCCCAGTAATTTTCTCAATATAGATGAAGGAACTTGTTCAGGAGCCTCCAGCTCTTCAGGCTCAACTGGTAATCTTAGACCTCAACATTTTCCTGTTTCCTTGTCACCCAAAATCTTAGTTACCGCCACTACCAATTCCAGCAACTCTAGTTTGGCTTCAAGTTCCGGTAGTCAGGCTCAAACTCAACAGCAAAATCAAACTCAACAATTTGATCCACCCAAAATATTGGTAAATGATCAGAATTCCATATATACCACCTCGCCCTCGAAGAGATCGGGCACCATTGAGGTATTTTCCCAGAAATACAGAGTAAGTTCTTTTGAGGACATGTCACCTTTAAAGAGAGGCTCCAATACCGACAAACAACATTTGAAAAATGTTAATCGTTTGGCATTTCGGTCCCTAGAAGAAGAAAGACGCATAGATAATGCCTTCATGCCCATAACAGATCGCGTACATTCCGACAATCGTGTCAATGTTCAGAGCGAAAAATACAAGAAATTGACTCACGCCTCATTTCGCATTAGTAAAACTTCTAGTCAGGTTATCATGTACGATACATCACCGGGCCAAATGATTACCTCTTCGCCCGGTTCTTCAACTATGCTGGCTCAGTGTGGTACTTCGTTGGAATTGCAACGGCCAGCCACTGCTTCAGGCTCATCCAGTTCGCGCCAGACCATGTGGCGTGATAGTAAGTTTTATCGCAAAAATCGCATAGCCAAATCGAATGATTCATTACTCGAGACTTCTCCCAATCATTCAGCACGTCTATCACCCTCCTCGTTGAGAGACAATCACTATGATAGCTCTTCTTCGTATGGTAGTCGTAGTCATAGTAGACAATCCTTAAATCGTGGTGGATCCATACATGAAATTATGGGTTCCAATCACACATTGGGTCCCGAAATAACCGTCACCACTAGTTTCTGCAATAATCCACCCAATGGCAATCGACGTTATTGCAGTTCGAAAAGTGAGGATTTGGGCGATTCCTCCGATTATCTAAGGGTAATGGATGCACGCAAATCTTACTCGGAAAGACATTTGGTGACGTTTGAAACGACCCTTAAGCAGACAGCCATTAACAACACCATGCCTTTGGATGGCTCAGATCCTTGCTATCTATCCGAAGACGATACCAGTTTCAATGAAGACAATAATGTTCAAGGAGGTCATTATCAAAATCAAAATATACCTCCACCCCAATCTAATTCGCAAAGATCACAGAACAGACATCATCAAGCGCCAACTAAATCGAAGTGCGGTTACGGGGAATATTATCAACAACAACAATCACAGCAACAACAGCATTCTACAGCAGCTAATAACGTTAAATCCGGCACATTTACTAAGCGTTCCCACCCCAATCAGCTAAGCTGGAGTTCATGCTCTATAAATCGCTTAAAAACGACCAATATTAAAACCACCTCTTTGGCAACTTTATCCTGCCAACAGAATTTAACTAGCCCAGCTGGTACTGCTTACAATCTCAGTCCTCAGCATCATCAGCACTCGTCGTCATCTTCTTCTTCGTGTCATTTGGATAAACCTAACTCGACTTCTACAACTCCATCACCATCTTCGAATGTCCATAGCGTAGATACCACCACCTCGAGATCTCCCAAGAAATCCTCACGTAATCCTGTGTTCAAAACTTTACTAAACACTGCCGCCTCCAATACCAACACCGATACCAGTAGCGACAACGGCAGTCGCAATGGCAGCCTAACCCAAGACAATTCTTCACCCGATGACTCGCCAACAAGACGCTCCATAAGTGGTATTGAGTTGGCGAAAATCTTCTCCTTGGATAGCACTACTGGTTCTGGGGGTTGTAGTGAAGAGAAAACACCGCTGCTGGACAGTGTTGAAATGTCACCTATAAGTCCTACCGATCCCGATAACGACGATGAAGAAGACGATGACGACGACGCCAATGGTCTAAAACAAAGAGCCGATCAAATGTGATATATTAATAAAAATTAAGACATAATTTGAAAGTAAACTGAGTATGATAAAAATCAATCATGGTGAGTTTTTTTCTAATAAAAGAAAAGTTAATCTAATGCTAATGAAAATGTTGTCGTTAGAAGAAAAAAAAGAAAAACAGATTAAGATTATACTTATTCCATGGTATGTAGTTGTTCATGATCCCGTTCAATATATAGTAACATAAATATTTATATGCTTAAACAAAATGTAGATTTAGGGAAATATGAGAAAGAGGGAGTTTTAAAAAAGGATATTAAGGAAAAGTAATGTTTAAAAAGATTATTATGTTATTGGCATAATTAATTAGAAGCTGCAAAGGAATTATGCTTCAGTTTTTTTTCGATTAACTTTTTAGATTCTGATTTCTTGACCGCATTAAAACTTTCTACCCCCGGGGGTATATTATCCCACAATTTTGACATTTTTCTGGTCGATAGACTTCTACTAATAACATTCTTAAAGTAAACGACGGAACTTGTTCAAGAGCTTCTAGCCCTTTTGGTTCAATTGGCAATCATAAACCTTAAATATTCATGATTCATTATATCTCAAAATCTTAATTGCTACTAGCTATTCCAGCAACTCTAGTTTAGTTTTAAGTTCCAGTAGCCAGGTTTTGCAATAAGACGGAATGAGTTCCTTTATGTACATGTTGCCCTTAAACAGATAGCCACTTCTCCGAGGTTTTCTTCAGACAATCGACAGAAGGCTTAATATGTATTATCACGAGCCACTTTTATTAACTTATGTAAGCTCTACATGGTATTCCAAGATTCAAGTCCATGACTATTATACGACGATGTCCCCTAGTTTACATAACGTCCTCCTTATCACCACGTAGAGTTACTTTAAAGGACACCACGCAACATTTTAAGACGAATAATATAAAAAAGATAAAATTCTGAAGATACCAAGAGTACTTATTGTGATAAGGATTAGAGAAATAAGTTACAGCTCATCTAGGACTGGGGAAATAGAAAATTTTCTAATCGATTTTTTATAGTAATGAAAATGTTTTATTTTGCCTTTCCGAAAGCTTAAATGTCGAACTCTATCCTAATCCCAAATGCCCACTTATATTTAACATATCTTTTTCATATCAAAAAATACAAACGAAATTTTAGTCCATAGTCTAGCCTATAGTGTAGTCTTTAGTCCAGTCTATAGTCTAGTCTATAGTCCAGTCTATAGTCTAGTCTATAGTCCAGTCTATAGTCTAGTCTATAGTCTAATCTATAGTCTAATCTATAGTCTATAGCCTTGTCTATAATCTAGTCTAGTCTACACTATAGCCTAGTTTATAGATTAGTTTATAGTCTATAGTTTTGTCTATAGTCCTGTCTATAATCTTGTCTATAGTCCAGTCTATAGTCTTGTCTATAGTCTAGTCTATAGTCTTGTGTATAGAAGAATACTTGCCTGATCTCTACACTCCTCCATACATATATGTATAACTATCAAACAGGCATGGAAAATTCAGTACTTTAGTACCTTTTTCAATACTTTTTGGTATCGGAAAATACCCACGAAATTTTCGGTACTTTTTCTAACTTATAAACTTTTGATAAATAATCCACATAGTAGTCAAACAGACCAATAATCTAGTCTATAGTCTAGTCTATAGTCCAGTCGATAGTCCAGTCTATAGTCTAATCTATAGTTTAGTATATAGTCTAATCATAGTCTAGTTTATAGTCTATAGTCTGATTTATAGTCTAATATATAGTCTTGTCTATAGTATTGTCTATAGTCTAGTCTATAGTCTAGTTTATAGTCTATAAACTAGTCGAAGATCCCTTGATATTGTCGGAAATACATTTATTATGAATCTCTTTAAATGATGTAAACCAGAGATCAAAGATGCGCTGAATCTGGGATTAGATTTTCTACACCCCATTATATTTTCGAGATATCGTGTCCTAAACTTTTAAAACCCCTGTTTTAAGCAATATTTAAAAGTCTCTTTACTGAGTTTAAAACTCTCTTTACTGAGTCAATATTGATTTTTTTTAGCTTTATTGTAGTTTCACACTTTAGGTTAAGAAATCTCGAAGTGGGAAGAAGATATAGCACAGATTAAACCTTTATTTTAAAGACGACTGATTGGACTTTCAGATGATATAAAAAAATTTACAAATAAAGTTGTCACCTCACTATGAGAACACCTCAAATATGTAAAAAAACGGGAAATTTTCAAACTTTAAGATTATATATATCGGAAATATGATGAGATAGAGAACATCGAATGCCAGATTCGTATTCAAAGCAGCTCTATTCTTTAGAAAAGTATACGTTGGTCTCTGGGTTTTGACTTCTTCAAATATTATTGGTCTGTTTTTCGAACACTGGCATAGCTTTGCAAACCCTGCTTTTGGCCGTTTCTACACTACAAACTTAAGTTACACTTGAAGAAATATTATTGACAACTTTTGACTTAAACACTTAAAATCCTTTTTTAAAACTCTCTTTTCAAAAGGCATTTTGAAAATCTTATGTATTTGAAAAATAAATTTAAAAAAAACTCTATTATTAAGTAAAAAGCTTTCTGCAAAAACAATAATTTCTCTATTAACAAAATAAACCAAGAAAACTCTATACAATTATTGAATTTTACCTTTACAATTATTTAACATATTGTATTAAATATTATAAAAAAAACTAAAAAAAATTATTAAATAAAAAGGTCCATTTAAAAAAATTCAATTTTTTTATTAGACTGTTAAGGATTTTATTCTCTAAATAAAAATAAATTTAAATAAAAACCAAAAAATATATATTATTAAATAATAATTATATACTATATGGCGCACTTCGAAATCACACACCTCCATCCTTATGATTAAATTTTAAGGATTTAAAACAAAATTATATTTAAATATTTAACAAAAGGAAAAAAAGGAAAAAACGTAAATTAAAATGTTTTAAATTGAATAAAATAATAAAAATAAGACTTTAGCTTCGAGTTTTAGAAAATAATAAATTGCGAAAATTTCAAATAATTTTAGCTTGAAGAAAAAAAAACGGAAAAACGTAAAAGAAATTTTCAATATAATATAGATTTTAGGGAATTTAATTTAAAATTAAAATCATAAAAAAAGGGGAATAACACAAAAACAAGTTAAATGAAACGTTTAATAATTTTAGTTTAAAACAATAAAATTAATTCGTAATTTTAAATTTAAGACAAAACAAGCTAAAAGGTAATAAAATTATAAAGTTTAGCCTTAAAATAACTAAGTTTTTTTTAGCACATTAATTTTTAAATAGGTTTCTTAGAATGAAATTTAAAAAATAAAAACAATTATTTTTTATTTTCAGTTAAAGTTGGAGCTTAAAATTGTAGAGAATTTTAGTTTAAAAAAAATTAAATGATAAAAATTAGCAATTAATAAGTAAATTATTTTAGTTTTTTATTAGTGAAAATAGTTTAAAAGGAAAGCAGCATACATAGAAGAAGTTAAAGGGCTTGGCAACGAACAATCGTAGCTTTAAGAAGGCTTTAAATGGAAACCAATTCCAAACTGAAGGCAACAGTCAATAAGGAAGTCCGATTATGCCTCAAATGTAGGAATAGCCAGAAAGTTATGAAGCAAAAGGACCAGTTGAAAACATTATAAATGGAATTATTTTAAATAAAATATATATATATATATTTTTAGTTGAAATAGAAAATAAACCAAAATTTAATAATAAAATTCAATTTATATTTAAGTATTAACAATTTAAATTAATATTTTTTAATAAAATCTTTTAAAACATAACAATAGAAAAACACAATTCAAATAAAATGTTAAAAAATAAAACACAAATACAAAAAAACTCTTAACCCCGTCAAATTTTTAAAAACGTAAACCCAAACCGAAAAAAAATCTTATTAAACGAAAACCGAAACCTAAAAAAATATATTTAAAACCAAACAAAATAGTGTTATGAATAAAATCTACAAAGAAATAAGTGAAATAAAATTAAACAATCAAATTGACGTATTTAAATTCAATACAATATATCAAAAAAAATAAATAAATAAAAAAAGAAACATTAATAAAAACAAAAAATAAACATTTAAAACTAATAAAAGAAATATTTACATTAAAACTGTTTTAAGTATTTATAATTTTATATATTTTTTATTTACTTTACTTTTTAATAATCAGTTATAAAAGTAATAATTTTTTTTATAATTTTTCTGTAAACCATCATTTATTTAACTTTCTTATAATATTAATTACTTTTAAATTGTTTATTTTTTTAAGAAAAACAAAATATAATTGAAAAATAAAATCGGTGATATTTTTAAGTGTATAAAAATAATGTTATTTAGAACATGAATAAAAATAAAAAAATAACAAAAAAATTAACCTAAAAAGCAAAAAACTGAAAATTGTTTTATTTTTAAATATGTGGGTAATTTTTCCCACTGTAAGCAAGCGTTTTTACACTATTAAAATTTATTACATCCCAACTAGCATTTGTAAGATTGTTGGATGATTAATCAGTAAACTGTGACTTCTCGGACTCTTGGTCATCAGGCCTAAAAGTGATCCATCAGTTAAGCGCTTAAAAAATAATTCGAAAACGATACCGATATATGATTAAAAACTGATTTGTTTAAAAACCATCATAAATTTATCATCCTGGTATTTGAAATATGATGGGTTTAAAAACTTATTTTGTGATTACATTTCATTTCAAGCAGTTGAAAGATCTAAAATTGTTTCTTATGTAATTGTTTTTCCTTATAACTGCACGACAATAATTACACTTTAAAATGTATCAAAAAATAATTCAGAAATGAGTCGAAACTGATTAGAAAATTGGTTTATAAAGACATTTGGAAAATTGTTGGATGATTAATCAGTAAACTAAGTCATTTCTGACTCCTTTTGATGACCTTAAAGTGATTAATAAGTGAAACGCTTAAAAAATTATTCAAAAATAATCTCGATATATGATTGAAAACTGATTAATTGAATAACAATAACAAAATGTACAGCAATCATAAATTGATCATTGTGGTGTTTAAAATATGATGGTTTTAAAAACTTATTTTGTGATCATATGTCGAGCAGTTGGAAGATCAAAAATAGTTTCTTATGTAATTGTTTTTGTTTGCAATGGAATAGCAACACTTACACTTAAAATTGACTGAAAAACGATTCAAAAATGAGTCGAAACTGATTAGAAAATGGGCTCAGACAAGACTCTTTTGGAAGAGTTAGCAAAACATTTTGTGTGGCCTAAAATGAGTTGATATAATTCTCATTTCGTTTATAAAATTAAATGTATAAGTATTTGAATTTGTGTGATATTTATAAAGTCGATTTTCTGGCAAGGAAATTAGAATTATATTATGCTTTAATTGTAACAATTTTATATGTTTAATGATCTTCTACGGAAGATAGTTGGGTGACTAATCACTAAACTAAGTCTAAATAATTCCAATTAATGTTTAAAATCTGATTTATTTGAAAAACAATAACAAAATGTACAGCAATCACAAATTGGTCCTCCAGGTGTTCGAAATTTGATTGTTTATAAATTTATTTTGTAGTTACATTTCGAGCTGTCGGAAGATCAAAAAGTGTTTTCTGTTGTATTGTATTTGTCTGTAACAAACATAACAAGTTAGAGTGCTATATTCGGGTGAGCCGAATCTTAAATACCCTGCACCAGCTACTTTTATATTAATACTTTTCAAATTGATCAAATATTTGTAGAAATAAGTTTTCTCATGTCTTAAATAGAAAAATCCCAAGATTTAAACAACTTAAATCTATTACAATTCCAAGATTTATTGAACATTACAAACGCCATTTTCTTTTATATTTTTATAGCGCTTAGCAATATTTATTAATTTGCATGTGTGTGAAAGATTTAAGGATTTTCAAAATACATATATATAATTTTGTTCTACACAAAATGATAATGCAACTAGTTAAGTAAGGCTTTCTGAAGGGAACCTTGTATGGGACCGACCTCACACTTGTTATGAACCGATCAATTTGGTAATGAGTAATGTGTGTTTAAGAGATTTTCGTAAAAAGACCTTGTATGGGAGCTATGACCAATTATGTATATAAATACAAAATTTCAAAATTCTGTATCTATATCATTATTTGGTAATGAATATTGTGCATTTAACTGATTTTCTGAAGGGGACCTAGTATGAGAGCTATGACCAAATATGGACCGATCGTAAAATAAGTTATGTGCCTTTAAGTGTTTTTCTGAAAGGGACCTTGTATAGCAGCTATGATAAATTATGGACTGATAGGAAATCAATTTCACAGTAATATTTCTCTGTATATGAGCAATACTTCTGCCAAACTTTATATGGATATCATAATTTAGTAATGAATTATATGCTTTTAAGTGATTTTCGGGAGGGGACCTTGCATGAGAGCTATGACCAGTTATGGACCGATCGGAAAAAAATTGCTCAGTAATATTTCTGTGCATATGAGTAATATTTGTACCAAATTTTATTTTCATGGAATTATCTTGCATAGTTTTCGAGAAAATTACATCAGAATGTGTAAAACATGCTTATTTTTTTCGAGGTTGTTTTAAATTTTGATTCATAACTTTTCCCGGTGTAAACCGATTTTGCCCATTTTCAATACCAAACAACTAAGGAAAATAAAGAACATTTTGGGTGAATTTGGTTAAACTATTGCTTCGTTTTATCGTGAGCGCGTTTTACACAGACAAACGGACAGACGGACGGACATAGCTAAATCGACTCAGAATTTGATAAGAACCCAGAATATATATACTTTGTTGGATCTCAGATGAATATTTCTTGGTGTTACACACGGAATGACAAAGTTATATATACCCTCTATCACCACTGAGGGATAGAGGGTATCCCTCGAATCATATTATAGAAATGACTATAATATGATTCGAAAATAATTCTAAAAAGTAAGTCGGCTCATTAATGACTCAAAAAAGATTAAAAAATGAGTCAGAACTTATCAGAAGTGGGGCTCATAAAAGGCTCGTTTAGAAGAGTCGCGGGTAGGGTACCATTTTCTCCCGACGAATGTATCATTTATGATCAGAAAATTAGCGCATATATGATCATTTTAATCGTGCAGAAGAGTCATAAATGACTCGAATGTGATCAAAAACTTCAAATAATGCTAGCTGCGCTAAAATATGTTATAATTATAATAATTATTTTTGTTTAACAATCTTCTAAGGAAGACTAATCACTAAAACTAAGTTTGGTGATTAGTCAATCATCTGATTAATTGATAAAAATTTGATTTATTCGAAAAACGATATAGCAATCATAAATAGATAATCCAGGTGATCGAAATATGATGTCTATCCATGTATTTTGTATTTATATTTCTCTAAGTCGGGAGATCAGGAACTGTTTTCTATATTATTGTATTTGATTGTAACTAACATAAAAATGACTCAGAAAAGGCTTAAAAATTAATGTTCTCCCAACGAATATATCATTTATGATCAGAAATTGAGCGCATATGTGATCATTTAATCCCGCAGAAGAGTCATAAATTACTCGAATGTGATCAAAATTTAAAAAAAATGCTAGCTGGGGTAGAAAATTCTTCCGTATTTTTATCACCAAACATGGTAAATATTTTTTTCTATATTATAAACTTTTGCTAAGTAGCCGTGTCAGATTAGACCATAGACTAGTTAATATATTAGAATATAGTTTAGTTATTATACTAAATTAGACAAAAGACTAGTCTGTATATAGATTTAGGATCAATTATGAAACGATACTCAAAAAACTTTGTACACAGATCTTGTTTTGTAGTACTGTTTCATGTCACATTTGATCGCTTTACTCGTATTTTGTGATCAAAAAGTACCAGAAATTTGTTTTATATAGATTTCCTTACAATCAGGAAACTACGTATTTAATTTATATTTTAAGGTTCAATATTATAGAAGATTCTAAAAGTATCACTCTTAAAACGAAAAAGTACCAAAAATACCCCTTTTTATAGATTTTCATTCAATAGGGAAACTTCGTGTTTAATTTATATTTAAATATTCAAAATTATAGAAATCTCAAAAATTACCAATTGAAGTACAACAAGTAAGAGTGTTATATTCGGCTATGCCGAATCTTATATACCCAACATCAAATCACTGCCATATAAATAAACTTTGATATTTTGAATATTTTATTATTATATATCGATATTAATGAGAACATCAGGGTAATATTTGAAAGAGGTCCATTAATAAGGGGTTTAACTATTGACAGTGCTCTTTCGAATTAAATATGTTAATTTATATAGGGAGTAAATATATATACACTTATATGGGCCAATTCTCATAAAAGTCGGTAGGAAGATTTCAGTTCCTTATTTATTTTAAATTTCATAGATTTACTTGTATTTTTAAGCCAGTAATGAACATTAAAGTCATTATCTTAAAGGGATAATGGACTGATTCGCATATACATTGGTACAAAGATTTCGGTTCCTATAAAACTTATCAGTGTCGAATTTCATCGCTGTACTCGCATTTTTAAGCCAGTAATGAGCGTTTAAGTGACTTTCTGATGGGGACCTTAAATAAAGGGTAGGGTCAATAATGACCGATCCCCACCAAATTTTGTAGAGAGATGTTAGCTCATAAAAACTATATCGAATTTCATCGCTTTAGTCGTTTTTTAGGCCAGTAATGAGCGTTAAAGTAATTTTCTGTTGGGGACCTTATATGGGGGGATTTATGGACCGATCCACATAAAATTTCCTGAAAGGTTTTGGCTCCTAAGATACTTATGTAAAATTTATTCGCTATACTCGTATTTTTACCACAATAATAAGTGATAAAGTCATTTTCTGAAGGGGACCTTATATGGGTGGATAGGGCCAATTATGGACCGATGACATAAAATTTGGTAGAGAGATTTTGGCTCATATAAAACTTACTTCTGAAAAATTTCATCGCTATACTCGTATTTTTAAACCAGTAATATGCGTTAAAGTAATTTTATGAAGGGGACCTTATATGGGTGGTAGGGTCAAATATGGACCGATCCACATAAAATTTGGTGGAGAGATTTGTATCCATATAAAACTTACTTATGTCAAATTTCATCGCTATACTCGTATTTTTACGCCAATAATGAGCGTTAAAGTCATTATCTGAAGGGGACCTTATATGGGGGGTAGGGTCAATTATGGACCGATCCACATATAGTTTGGTGAAGGGATATTGGCTTGCATGAAACTTATGTGAGTAAAATTTCATCGCTATATTCGTATGTTTGAGCCAGTAATCAGCATTTTAGTCATTTTCAAAAGGGGACCTTATATGGGGGGTAGGGCCTATTGTGGTCCTATGTCCGCCATAATTCAGAATTTTATTTGGGAGGTCAAAAACAACGAATTTATGAATGTTTAAAGCTTTTTACACAATATTCCGGGGGTGCATTTGTATGGGGGCTATGTTAAATCATTGACCGATTTTGCCCATTTTCAATACCAAACATTTCTGATCAATAAAAAATATTTTGGGAAAATTTCATCTCAATATCTATTTTTTTGTGGACGCTATCATGCCAACAACAGACAGACGGACGGACATAGCTAGATCGTCTTATAATCTTACGAGGTCCTAGAATATATATACTTTATGGGGTCTGTGAACAATATTTCGATGTGTTACACACGGAATGACAAAATCAATATACCCCCCATCTTTTTTGATGGTGGGTATAAAAAAGTATTTTTTTAAAGATTCTTATTTACTTAGGATTCTGCGTGTTGAATTTCACATAACAATCAATAGTCCTCTCGTAATAGATTTTTGTTAAATCAAGACATTGCGTTTTTATTTTTATGTTCAATATTATAGAATATTCAAAAAGTACGAGCAGAAGAACGAAAAAGTACTAGAAAATACCCCTTAATCGATTTTCAAGCACTCGTTTCCAGTTAATTCATTCATTCCCACTGTATACTAGAAAATATAGGTGTTTGTATTGGCAACTCTTTTTCAAAACATGTAACATTACCAGCGCCCCCTAACATCAAAAAAAGCAACACTTTACTCGTTGATTTATAGCAAAAGCAAATGTCAAATTAACGACCAAAACAAATAGCACAATAAAGAAAACACACAAAACACAAAAGCGAAGAAAAAAAGTTCAAAATTTCACACAAAAAATACGAATGTGAAAAAATTCATTTTTAAAACAGAATTCAACGAGAACGGTACCAATCAGAATAAAACACAGACCCACAAACAAATTCAAATATACGAGCGAAATTTTTTTAACTACAGCAACAACAAACTGTACAGTGAATTTTGCATTATTTAATTGAAAGATTAATTAATTATGCAAAACAATTAAGTGAAGTGCAAAAAAGAAGAAAGAAAACACGAGTTTTTTTTTTAGCGAAACAACAACAAAGTGCATACAACTAAAGAGGAATTTTAGTTGAAGAAAAAATAAATAAATTGTTTCGAGAAAAATCGATTAATTTTTGTTAAAATAAAAGAAATTCCTGATAAAAACAAATTGTTAAAGGAAAAAATTGTATTTGTGAAATTTAAAGCAGAGAAAATTAATTTTCATAATTTCAAATATACATTTTTGAGGAATTGAATAATAAAATTACATAACCTTCATAAAGATCTTGAAAACAAATTTAATAGAAATAGAAATATTTTACTTTTTGGTGGCCACAATTACAATAATAAAAAAATCACGAAAAAAAACTCTTGTGTAATAAGCAAAAACCCAGAATCTTTGGCAGAATTTATAATTGTTTGTGCCGTATAAATACTTGAACAAATTGCAAGCGAAAAAAGTGAAAAATAACTTGTTAAAGCAAAAAAAATTTGCAGATTTTTCCTTAAAGGAAAAGCGGATTGACAACATGTAAGCGGCCAAGTCCGTCTCTAAATTTTTGCCAAACTCTAAGTAATTAAAACCAAACATTTCTATAAAAACACGTTTTTAATCTTTTTTAAACATTTTGTGACGGTCACACCTACAAAAAAAAAAAACAAATAATAAAAAACTTACCAATTTATATAAAATTTTAAGGCGTTTTGTTAAAATTTTTACAAAATATTTTCACAATTTATTCTTCTAAACTTTTGGCGAATTCTTTAATTCTTCGTGTTTTTGTTTTGTTACACAAAAAAAATTGCAAGTGTGTGTTCGAATTGTCAAAAACAATAAAAACAACAAATAAAACATTACAAAAACAACATTAATAGTGTTATCTCTACTTACCGGTTCTTGTTTTTGTGCTTTTCATTAAATTACTCGGGTTCGTGTGTCGCCTGTACGTGAATTGTTTTAACAGTGTGCGTGTGTTTTTGTTTTTCAATGCACTCGTTTGTTTTTTATTAAGAAGCCGGGTTTCTTTTTGATTTGTTTTGAATATCAAAAACAAAACAAACTTCACTAATAACTAATTTTTTATAGTTTTTTAGTGTTTACAAACATTCACCTGAAGACCTAAAAACAAAAACAAATATAAACAATTTTGTTTTATACCTATACTCTCACTTTTAACCAAAAAGAAGAAAATAACCCGAAAAGCAAACAAATTGCGTATTTAGTTTGTTGTTTCATTTTGGACTATATTTTGTAAGAGATTTTAAATTTGAGCATGTCCCAAGGACAAAGGGATACGATTATACATTTAGTAGCTGGCGGGTAAGTAAAAATTTGTATAAATAGTTAATTTTTTATAACTTTATTGATTAAATCAAAACAAGTGCGTAATATATTAAGTTCCCTCACTGGCATCTGTCGTTTGTTGATGTCAGAATATTGGCGTTGTACCGTGAAAATTTCAAGAAAAAGGTAAAGAAATCAGTAATTAGATAGATAGATAGATAGATAGATAGATAGATAGATAGATAGATAGATAGATAGATAGATATATAGATAGATAGATAGATAGATAGATAGATAGATAGATAGATAGATAGATAGATAGATAGATAGATAGATAGATAGATAGATAGATAGATAGATAGATAGATAGATAGATAGATAGATAGATAGATAGATAGATAGATAGATAGATAGATAGATAGATAGATAGATAGATAGATAGATAGATAGATAGATAGATAGATAGATAGATAGATAGATAGATAGATAGATAGATAGATAGATAGATAGATAGATAGATAGATAGATAGATAGATAGATAGATAGATAGATAGATAGATAGATAGATAGATAGATAGATAGATAGATAGATAGATAGATAGATAGATAGATAGATAGATAGATAGATAGATAGATAGATAGATAGATAGATAGATAGATAGATAGATAGATAGATAGATAGATAGATAGATAGATAGATAGATAGATAGATAGATAGATAGATAGATAGATAGATAGATAGATAGATAGATAGATAGATAGATAGATAGATAGATAGATAGATAGATAGATAGATAGATAGATAGATAGATAGATAGATAGATAGATAGATAGATATATAGATAGATAGATAGATAGATAGATAGATAGATAGATAGATAGATAGATAGATAGATAGACAGACAGACAGATAGATAGTCTCGAATTTACGTTGGACTAAAAGCATAGTTAGAGCCTACTCTACAGTTTGATCCACAATCTTATTTATACTCTGCCTTTTTCTCAAATGTATAAACCATTTTATATATACTCGTTGTGCTAATTAGAATATCTCTACTTCAAATTTATATTTTTTTCCTCAGAAAGTATAAAAATGCATTTTTTAATACACTAATCTAGATATTAATAATTTTAAAAATATAACCTTGTTCTATTGAAAATAAAACAAAAACACTTTGCCAAAATACCATAAAATAGCTCAAAAATCATGCGTTCTTCACGTGTTTTTCTTTCTTTTCATATTCCAATTCAAAATTGAAATGCTAATACGCTCACACATACCTCATTAGATTCACAACAATAATAAAATTTCTCAAAAAATATAACGACAATTAAATAGAAAAAAGTGGCAGATAAACAAAACAAATAATAAAAACAAAATACATAAAAAAGAATGTTTAGAAAATACACATTCAGAATTTGAACTTTAAACCTTCCACAATAAAACAATACAAATTTTTAAAAATTAAAACAGCGTAAAATTCTTAAGCTCTTGATGCACAATTGATTTCGAAAAATAAAATTAAACAAAAAATGTTATCTTCATTAAAATAATCTACGTAGTTTTGATTTCTGTTGAAGTAGATTCTTTAAGATATAGTCTAGTAGTTATCTATTTATTGTTTTGTTTATTTAATCATTGTTTATTTATTTAAATGATTACAAACTCACATTAAAAGTAACAAAACTGTGACAAAATATTGATAAGAAATTTTCACTAAAAACACCAACACTCATGCAAATAGAATGCAACAAAATTTTAAAATACATAAAAATTCTAATATATTTTAATAGATGAAATAAATGTTTTTATTTGTGTGTTTCTTTTTAAGAAATAGTATATGTACATAAATAAATAACAAAAAAAAAAAAAAAACACACAAATATTAAACAAATAAACATTTTTTCTTAAATTTCACAACATTTTTTCAATGCTTTTTTTTGTTGTTGATTTATTTATTTTTCAGTTTGTTTCTCTATTTTGTTTATTTTCTTATGTATTATACATGTAATCCATATATCTACAATGCATTAAGTATATTATTGGTTAAGTGTAAAAGTAATTTCAATGGAATTTAATATATAGTCTGATTTATATTATAAGTAGACTGGAATGTAATCTAGTTTATAGTCTGGAATAGAGTCCAAAATATAGACTAGACTATAAACTAGAATATAGACGAGACTGTAGTCCAGTCTCCAGACCATGCTATAATGCAGACTATAGTCCAAACTTAGATTATAGACTATAGACTTAGATTATAGAATACACTAGAGTCTGCATTGTAGATGCATCAGACCATACACCCGTCTGAAATATAGTATAGTTGATAGTTTGGTCTAGACTATAGTCTGGACTTAAGTCTGGTACATAATCTGGACTATAGTGTGATCTATAGTTTGGTCTATAGACTGGTCTATAGTCTGGTCTATCGTATGGTCTGTAGTCTTTTCTATAGTCTGGTCTATAGTCTAGTCTATAGCCTGATCTAAAGTCTGTCTATAGTCTGGACTGTAGTCTGAACTATGTCTGGTCTATAGTCTGATCTATAGTCTGATCGATAGTCTGGTCTATAGTCTGGTTTGTAGTCTGGTATATAGCCTGGTTTAAGTCCTGTCTATAATCTGGTCTATAGTCTGATCTATAGTCTGGTCTATAGTCTGATCTACAGTCTGGTCGATAGTCAGGTTTGTAGTCTGGTCTATAATATGATATATAGTCTGGCCTATAGTCTGGTCTATAGTCTGGTCTATAGCCTGGTCTATAGCCTGGTCTAAAGTCTGTCTATAGTCTGGACTGTTTTCTGAACTATAGTCTGGTCTATAGTCTGGTCTGAAGACTTTCTATAGTCTGGACTGTAGTCTTAACTATAGTCTGCACTATAGTCCGGTCTATAGTCTGGTCTATAGTCTGGTCTATAGTCTGGTCTACAGTCTGGTCTATAGTCTGGTCTGTAGTCTGGTCTATAGTCTGGCCTATAGTCCGGTCTATAGTCTGGACTATAGTCTGGTATACAGTATGGTCCATAGTTTGATCTATTGCCCGGACTATAGTCAGGTCTACAGTCTGGACTATAGTCTGGTCTATAGTCTAGAATATAGTCTGTACTATAGTCTGGTCCATAGTACTGACTTTAATCTTGTCTGTAGTCTTATCTATAGTCTGAATTGTTTTCCAGATTACAGTCTGGACTGTAATCTAGTTTATATTCCACATTAAGTTAATATACAATACAGATTAGTCTATTATCTGGACTAGACTAAACTAAAGCTTTGCCTTTAAAGTCTGGACTACAGTATTGTATATATTCTTGGCAATAGTTAGATTTATAGTGTAATCTATAGTCTGGACCCTAGTTCATACTTAAGCCAACTCCTTTGTCTAGACTACAGACGAATCAATAGTGCAGACTATAGCCTAATATAAACTATAATCCAGCCTACAATCCAATATATATTCTGGACTATAATATATTCTACAGAATGTCTTAGGTCTATAGTCTAGCATTGCGTTCAACAATGGGTTAATAAATAAATCTCTCATTCACTTGCCCAATTTTTTTTTTTTAATACATGTCGCATTTATTTATATACACTACAAGATTTTATTAGTGTATTGGCTTGTATTTTTTATAAAAATAATTCTTATTTATTTTTTGTATTATACATCTCTGTATACATAAATATTTTCCATGGTGAAAAGTTTAAAGCACTTAACTAACATATACTTTCGAACACTAATATCGTAATCTTAATTGATTTCTCTATAATAATAAACTTTATCTAATGTTTGGAAAAATTTGATAATTAAGTAGAGACAACTTTTTATCATTATTTTTATTATATTATAAAACATCAGATAAATATAAAAACAGAAGTAACAGCAGACAAAATGAAAAACTGCGCCTAAATAAATATTCTGCCCGGCACAAAAAAGGAAAATACGACAATGTGTAATTTTTTTTAGTAAAAAACACTTTTTTCCAATTTATGACACAAAACGCACTTTGGGATACATACATGTTTACAAAGAAATAATTTTGCAGTATAGATACATATACATAAATAATAAAAAACATGAAAATAAAAAGTTATTTTTAGTTAAAATATTTTTATTTTAATAAAAATTCTGTCCCCCGTCACTGCGCTTGATGAATGGTTAGATGGTGGGCAGCTGGCAGATAATATAAAAAAGTAAAATTTACAACTTAGCTTTACAAGCGTTTTGTGTGCATTTTGTATATAGCTTTATTTTCAATGATTAAACACAATAAACAAGCACATTTTTTTAAACACAATTTAACGTGAGCAGTTTTTTAATAATTAAAAAAACACACTGCTGTTGCTGTTGTTATAAAAATAAAACTGAAATTGCAGGGATTTATGAAGAGCAGAAATTTTCACTTGAGAAATTATTAGTAGAAAGAAGGTGACTTAGAAAAGTTTTTCAGTGCAAATATTCTGGATTCTATATAATTCATATGAATCTAATGCGAGTTTAATAAGTTTTGAGAATTTAAAAAAAATCTTTAAATGGTCTTTTGAATATCTTCTATATAAGTCCTCTCTGTAGTCTGACTGCAGTCTGGACTATAGCCTGGATAGTAGTCTAGTTTATAGTATGGTCAATAGTCTGGTATACAGTCTGTCTAGTCTATAGTCTGGATTATAGTCTAGTCTATAGTCTGCACTATAATCTACTCTATAGTCTGTATCCTAGCCTACAGTCTAGTCTATACAAAAGTTTAGTCTATAGTATAGTCTAAACAGTACTATTGTGTATAGTCTGCATTATAATCAGGATTATAGTCTGCGCTATAGTATAGTCTATAGGACTATAGCCTTATCTATACTTTAGTTTCTCTATAGGCTTGTCTATAGTTTGGGATATAGTCTAATATACATATATTCTGGATTATAGTTTAGACTATATTCTAGATTATAATCTGTATTACATGGACTATATTCTAGTCTATTGTGTGGGCCATAGTCAAGTTTATTGTAGAGACCAGTATATTTTATATTCTGATCTATAG